GGTACCTCGGCTATGTAGCGGCCCTACAAGGAACCAATACTTTATCTACCACAGACAAAATAGTTTCTTCTGTTCTGTTCATTTCTGTTCAATATGGATACATATTGCAAATGTAAGACTGCAAACCCAAACAGAATTCTTACTCCTTATCCCTCATTTCCTCCTGTTCTTCTAACTCTGCTACTAACTTCACAAAAAACATGGAAGTAATCTAGAAATCTTTATTGCTGGAAAGCAATGGTGGGACTATCATTCTTTGTACAAAAATATTTTAACGCGGTTATTTAGAAATGTTAAGGAAGAGCATTTCAGTGATAAAATATTTTATTAGTGCTTTTGTTTGAGTACATTGAGCAATGTATTGGGACTTGTTAAAAAATTCTCAAGTTTGACCATCCGATCTTTCAATCTCAGACATCACTGTCATAACAGAAGCAGATGCTAAGGTAGAAGAAATCATCCCAACAGTGAGGTTCTGTATTGCCAGTTGAGACCCATAAAGCAAGATTCGGGTATGGTGGAGGGTGTATTTTATAGATCTATGCATATCAAAACAACCATGGGAACTCTGCCAGCCAAGTGTGAATGTGACCAGCCAACTGAACCCTCCATCTCACGCAGCTGCCAGCAGGCAGGATGCTTAGCTGTGATACAGGGTATGCTGGCTGGAGCCAGCTCTAGCATTTGCTGAGATGACAAATAGGTCCTTTGTGTAGGTTTTTTTGTCGCTCCGAAGCATCACCAATATCACTCACCCATTCACTCCAGGCTATGCAAAAATACCGATTATTTAAATGCTTTGTATAAACTCAACAGAGATTGCTGACAAGGTGTGAGATACTCTGCGGCTAGTAAAGAACACATGAAACCACAAACTGAAAAATGGGAGACCTCATTTTGAAGGGATGAGAGCAGAGAAACTGGAAGAAATGAAGTAAGCATCAGGTTCAATAAAATGATGGAAAGAAAGTCCTGCTGCAAAAACAGGACTATGAAGTGTATCAGTCTGTAAGTGCACAAGATAATGTAGCAAACAATACCACATAAACAGCAAGGGAAGCAATGTCACACAATAGAGAACCTTGTGCATGAAATAATACAACTTTTTATTCACGATTTATAGATTACTTTTATTTATTTTTGCTTTAATAATGCATATTCTGTTCACTCTGTGCAAAACTGGGGACAGAGGCGGGTGTTTAAATCACCTAACGAAAAATCAAGCGGAGATGAACATTCAAGTTGAGGGAGAGGCCTATCAAAACTGCGAAAGCTAAAAAGCCACAGCTGCTCAAGACAAAGCTGCTCTCAGCTGCACCCTTTTGTCCTGGCACCTCGCACAAACCTGGCTCTACTGACGGAGCAGCTGTATGCTGAGAAGGTGACCTCTGCCCGACGCCGGGGACAGGAGCCATCGTGGTAGCTACATTAGGGAGACCTGGCTTGCAACCAGCTCCAGTCAGTGTGTGGCAAAGAAAGGCACAAATCATTGCAAAGACCAGATTTCTGTTGGTTTGTTTCCTTCTTGTAAATACATTACTGTACACAACCCAAGTTTAAACTGTAGGGGATCTGGGACATGAAATTGCATATTTAACAGAACTTAAAACCATAACAAAAAGTAGGCTGTTCTATCTCAAAGCAAAAATAATCCCTCCAGCCCCAACATTAACATTCATTCCTGGCTATATGCAGTACAAACATTTTAAAATCTGTGACAAAAGACAATTAAAAACAAAAAATTAAAATCATAAAGCTTGTAAACAGATAATCTGAAATACACTTTATTTATGGAAAAATATAATCAAAATAGTACCACTATGGACTAAACTGCCTGAGTTTTCATTTCACCTAGGATCTTGAAGTAGAGAGCCTTTAGCACAAGAAGATCAATTTCAGTCACAACTAGTGCCGCACAGCACTGCTTCGGGTGGAAATTTTGTCCTCGTTGGTATTTTTGTTGTGCTATCAAAAACTGTTGTGCTAATCCTTCAAATAAAGGGATGTTGAGGCAATTCTTAAATCATTTGGCACAAAGTTATTTTGGCTGGGGCATAAATTTGAGTCTCAGTCATGAAGAATAATGCAACATTCCACCTATCAAGTATTCACTTTGATTGAAGAGCTTTCTTTATGTCATTAACTTCCATCTGAAAACAAACAAACAAAAAATATTTGTGATGAAATTAGATGCTTTAACAAACTGAAGCACAGTTGGTGCTGCTTGAAAAGTACATGTTCCATCTTGTCCACAGGTGTCAAGTATGGGTTTTGTACAATTATTTCCACAGATTTCACAAACTGACCTTCTCAGCTGCAGAAGATGACCACTCATGGCTTTCTCCCCTCAGAGCTTGGCAAGGATAGTCATTGAACATACCACAAGAGTTTTCAAACTCTTTAAATTACAACTTTTACAAGCCACAGAGCTTGCTGCCAGGAATTTCTTGCAGAATGAGCACTGTGTCCATGCACCAGCTGCTACACTTACACCCAGCACAAGTAAACTGAATTGCTGACTACAAGCACTGGTAGCTGAGGAGCAAAACCCAAAAAAAAGTCTGGCTCCTGTAGGGATGGTTCTTGCTGTAGGGATAGCAGTTGCCTTCTACACCCATCAAGCCTGCATCCAGGCACCTTAAGGGCTCTGATGGATGTACAGCCGTGTGGTAAAAGGATGTGGCTGAAACCATCATGAGCCCTAGTTGTACACTTGGCCCCTCTGACAGACACTGGAAACCCTGAGGCCAGGGTATTAGATTTATTCAAACACACCCACAGTGCTCAACTGCACCATATGCCTGGAGAAGAGGAGGCTGAGGGGAGACCTTATCGCTCTCTACAAGGATGTGAAAGGAGGCTGTACCCAGGTGGGGGTTGGTGTCTTCTCCCAGATAATCAGTGATAGGATAAGAGGAAATGGCCTCCAGTTTCTCCAGGGGAGGTTTAGATTGGATTATTAGGAAGAATTTCTTCACTGAAAGGGCTGTCAAGCACTGGAACAGGCTGCCCAGGGGAAGTGGTGGAGTCACCATCCCTGGAGGCATTTAAAAGATGTGTAGATGTGGTGCTTAGGGACATGGTTTAGTGGTGGCCTTGGCCATGCCAGGTTTATGGGTGGACTTGATGATCTAAAAGGTCCTTTCCAACCTAAACAATTCTATGATTCTGTATCATCAAGGCAGTCTTCTTTAATACATGGACTGAGAGCCGTGCTATTTTATGATTATCAGAGCACTCTTAAACTAATGCAACTTTTGTTTGTTGAACTCTTATCTTCATGTAAAGCTAATAATGCCACCTTGGTTAGCATCTGAACATTTATCAGAACAAGCAATATTTGAACTGGAGTAAAAGCATTCAGCTATAAGATCGTAATTTTAAAACCATCAATGCAGGTCTCTGCATAAAGATGTAAAGCCATGTGGGGAAGAATCCAGATCTCTGAATAGTCTGGTTTGTTAGACTAAACCAGTAACCGCTATTAAAAATGTTCATTGATTCTATCTGAATAAATTTCAATTTTAGCTGAACATGAATGCTTTTTTCTAGAAGCCATACTCCTATTTGGTTGCATGCATAAAGTCCCTTAGGCAGCCCCATAGCACAGACATCGATGGTCTGCAGTTCTGTCACCCTTCGCCATGTTCCCAAGAACTTTACTGAGCAGGAACAGCCCAGTGAAATGCCAATGCAATTTTCTATCCCTAGTACAAAGAAAAAGTACAGTTGACCTATCCCACAAAAATATAAAATATCATCAATACTAAACCACTTATCAAGTACATAGAATAGAATGGAATAGACTGTTTCAGTAGGGATCATCTAGTCTAACTGCCTGACCAGTTCAGGGCTGACCAAATTAAAGCATGTCATTAAGGGCACTGTCCAAATCACTCTCCAAAACCCAGAAAAGCAGTTTCAACGTCATTCCGTATCGAAGCAGCACAGTCAATGATCCTAGCAAAGGCCCAGCTCCATCACTCTCACACAAGTAGCGCAGCATGCTACCTAGCAAATGACTAAGTCAGCACGATAACATCTAGAGCTAAGGTACTACACAAACTATGGTAGCAGTAACTGGGCTCTTAATCAGAGTATCTTCTTTTATATTGTTTAGGATGTTTTAATAAAGGCATCCAAGTACAGTCTGTAAAGCAGACATAAAAATCTTGCTATATGAAATGATATTCCGAGCATATCAACACTAAGACAAGCCTACTACAAAATACAAAGCTTTGGGAGAGAGCAAATAATTTAAAAAGACACGATTTCATTTGTGACAAAATCAAACCATTAAAACTGGGACTAAAAAATATCATAGTTCGAATCCTGTATTGTTGTGTTTGGGTTTTTTTTAAATTTGTCTACTTGTGCTGATAAATTTTTAGATAATTATCAGTCTTTTCAGTAAGAACCGAGTATTGCAATATATATGACACAGACTGGCAACACTATGAAGGGAACAGGTATATCCCTTTCAGAAATGTTAGTAGTCTTTGATTCACTGGAATCTAAGTACCTTAGCAGAGTTTTATGTCCCATACTTCAGGCTAAATCAAACCTGCCAATACTTCCATAACATTATAAATAATGTAAGTACCTGCAATCGCAGACGGATTTTCTTTTCTTCATCCAACTCAGACAGCAACTGTTTAATCTCTTTTCTGTTAAAAGAATGCAAAAAAAAAAAGCTTGGAATGGAAACTATTAAACTGGTAAAATACAAAAGATCACCTCTTGGAAACATATTTTCCCTGCTTTACTAGTCGCCCTTTTTCCTCTGAACAACTAATTAATGTCTGTGCACTCCTGTATACTATATGCTATACCACAGAGAAGTAAGACTCTCTATAAAAGGACAGTACCCCCTCCCCCCATACGGCTAATGAATAACACATGTCCTCCTAACAGCCCTGCATCCACAGGCTTTGCTCTGGACTAGCTGCATCAACACTGTGTCAGCACCAGGTTGCCTTTTTTCCCATACAAAATGGAGACAGATTGGCTGTTAGTGGGTTACAGGAACTGGTAACACAAATCCTGCCCATGCCATCACACACTTAAGCCACTTAACTGCTGTTTATGCCAGCAATACAATGTAACCTTCAACTTCACTTATAAGACTTAACGATCCCCAAAACAGATTTGCCCTCATCTTTCTTTGTTGGGAAGGGGAACACAGACACCTTCTCGTGTTCCCATGGAGTGATCTCACCTTTGGACAGAAATCAGTAGGTGAAAGCAACCCTTGCAAGAAGGGCTGGGGAGACCAGAGGAGCAGGGGCCAGCCTAAGAGGTAAAGCCGGGGGGCTCGCTGGCTAGATCCAGCTTGAACCATGCCCTCTCACATCTGCTCCCAAACTCCCTGCAGACCTCTGTTCCACCACAGTCTCTGCACGCTGCTTCCCCTTTCTTTTTCCTGCCTGACCTACACACAACTGACCATGTAAGCGAAGGTTTAGCTTCCAAAGCATTATTCTCAGTAATAGCAAAAGCTACATGCCAGCCCCAGTTTCTACTAAGAAATGAACAGCTTAAATAAAATAAAGATGCCCAATACTAAAACAGTAAGATTCGGGGTCATAAATACAAAGGTCATCAAAATGTCCTAATCACAATTCAGTTACTTCTTTTGTAATACGAGCTTCCTGGGAAAATGTTCTAACAAACAAGAAACTGATTTAATAATTTTAGGAACTTGTAGAAATTTGTACTACAACTAGAACAAACTATTAAGATCAATGCACATGAGTTCCCAAATAGTTATTGGTAAATAAACCAACATAAGAACCTTATTCACTGCTTATAGCTTGTAACTTAACTTTTTCAACACCCCCTAAACATCTGCTTATGTCATAACACAGGGAAAAAAGAAAGCTGTTACAGATGGATATGCCAGTCTTTTTTCCTGAGCTTCTCACTCCTGAATGCGTTGTCAGATGAAAATCACTCACAAAGGCAAACTGTGCAGAGTAACATACATGAAGGCAAGCTCCAGAAGAAACTGCTACTACCATGCATGAACGGATGCATCCCACCTACAGCTGTGATATGCAGTACTTACTTTTGCTGGTCTTTCATGGTTTCAATGATGGTTCTCAGCTCCTTAATTTGTGTTCTCAGCTCCTCCAGGGCAGTCTGACCTTGGCTCAAGTGCTCAGTCTTTGGCTTTCCTTCAGTACCAAACAGGGATGGGGAATTTGACCTGTGGCCTGTTGTTCCCATAGCAATTGAGTGAAATCCAGGTGACGGTGAAGGGGATAGTGATGGTTGTACATTACTGCCACTAGGCAAACCTCCTTGTTTTGGAGGCAAGGAAGTTTTATTATCAGACACCTGCAACAAAAAGAATAACATTTAACATCTGGAGAAAGCTTTATGAAAATCAGACCTCTAACAAATATTAAGTATTTCGCTGCTCTTCAGTAATTTTGAAAGTCCATAGTCAAACACGGACAGTTTTGGCCAAAGCACGATAAATATAACAATTAGTCTTATCTTTGTACAGGTACATCAGAGGGGGTCTCGCTGGGATGCAGAAGATCAGACAGCTTCAGTAAGACTTTCCACAGTTGCCACAACCAGTCAGCAACAAGCGTTCCCAAGATCTCAGACCTAGCAGTGAAATGAACCAGTGTTTCTCTCAGAAATTTGTGAGAACACACCTAATTCCACGGACATCTCCTCCAGAGCACAGAACTGCATGGCCAAGAATCCAAGTTGTATTGTTTTGCAGATTAAATAAACTAACCATTGCAGGAATCTTCAACACCCAACGTTTTTTAAAAATTAAAAAACATGTTACTTGCTGCTCTTAGCATTATGAAAATAGCAAAATATTCCTTAAGTTTGCTTGTTGGTATGATATAAAAAGAATAATAAAATGCCATGGCTTCAAAATGATAATATATTAATAAGAAATAAATGTACTGCACTGTCCTGTGTTAACTGAAGCTTCTGTGAATCCCCGTAACTACCAATGGCTCTTCATTCCTCTAGGAACTTAACAGAAAAATGCAGCATTAAACCAGTTACTCTGGAACCACGTGGCTAGCTCAGAAGGATCCCAAGCTCCTTGAATTGCAATCCAGTGCTCTACTTATTAGACAAGGTATAGAAAATCTGAAGTCCAACTACCAAATATGACCAGCTACTTCCTTGCATACACAGAACAGTGTACAAGTACAGTTATCACAATGGCAAGTAAGGTGAACCTTAGTTATTTCTCATACTGTTATCTGGCAATGTTAATGTGTTCATAATACGCCAGCTACCAGGAGTATCTGAAAATCTGACTTGGCCAAGAGTGAGAAAAAGCACTAGGCAACCCTCCAACTCTATCTTTGGAAAAGGGATATTGAAGTTGAATGACAAATAGGGTAAGATGTTGAGGAAAAAATGGAATGGAAATGGAAGGAGACATTGTAAGCGAGGATGTGGGGACTGGGGTGGTTGCATTAGCTGGACAAAGTAACTGAGAGAAAAGTTAGTGGTTGGATGAAAATTAGGAGAAAGTGTGATGGAGAGGGAAGAGCAGGATCCACCAAGTTCCGCAAAAACTAAAAAAACTACACGAGCATGACCAAGCAGAGAACCTGTCCTGGGCAAGCACTGCAAAAAAAAGTGTTCTGCAGAAAAAACAGTGTGACCATAGAAATAAAAATGACGTTATAATCACAAGAAAGTTGAATCACTCCAGTGGCTTAAATGCTTGACTTCATGGACCTTAATAATATTCTTTTAACATTTTATATCTATATATGTGCACATGTGTGAGTAATGTGTACCTATAAACAGGTCTTTCATGGATAAAAATCCTTCTATCAGTAGATGCAAGTTTCCTTTGGATTGAAAAGACACGTGAGTCTGAGTTCAAACCTGGAGCAAGCGAGCAAGGCACAACTGGAGTCATTCCCACTGAACACCTTATTCTAGAGCTTAACCATCTATCAACATTAAAGCCTCAAGCAGCCTCTTTCTGATAGTAATCAACTTGTTTTACAGGAACAAAATCTACATCCTTGGCATATCAGCACATAATTTACGAATGTTGGCCCAAGAGCATTCCTTAACGCAAGCGCTCCCAGAAGAGGGAGCTACATAGCAAAACATTATCCTTGGAACTTGATCACAGAAGTGCAGGACTTCATCTTTCAAATACTTCTGTTATACTATTAGAATGTAATACTTGGATTATTAAAGGTGCCCTTATGTACTAAAAAATAGCTCCAACCTCTAAAGCCCGATTTACACA